ATAGTTTAGCTCTCACTTATAAGTGGGAACAGCCAGTATTTATTTTTTCTGTCCCTGAGTTACTTCATTTATGGTAATGGCCTCTAGTTCCATTCAAATTGCTGCAGAAGACATTATTTCATTTTCTTATCTTTGAGCAGTACTTCATGGTATGTATATATACTACATTTTCTTAATCCACTCATCATTTGATAGGCACTTAGGTTGATTCCATGCCTTTGTGATTCAATAGCACTGTTTAAAATACATGAAAATAAATGCCAGAAAGAAGATAATATTTTCTACAAAGAAATTTCAAAATAGACTTAGAGATGGAATAATCAGTGTGAAAAACAAATGGTTTGAAATAAAAATATTTTGTATGTGTCTGTGTGTATATATATATACAAAACATATATATATTTATATATAGTTATAATTATATATATAATGTTGTATATATATATATAATTTGTGTACTGATGCAGTGACGAAAAATATAAAGTCATCTTTAGCTTTATGTGAAGAAATGGGATCTTTGATCTTTCGTGTTGATGGGTGTTGGTTATCCAAAGATTTTGTTGAGAGTTTATGAGCTACGAAAGAATGGAAAATTAAGAAAATGAAAAATCAAGCCAGAGACTGGCAAAAAATCTTTACAAAACACATACCTAATAAAGGACAAACTCTTAAGATCAACAATAAGAAAACAACCCAATCAAAAAAATGGACAGTATAGACATTTTAACAATATTGATTCTGCCAACCCATGAGCATGGTATATTCTTCCACCTGTTTACATCCTCTGCTATTTCCTTCTTCAGTGTTTCCAGTTCTCCCTGTAGAGATCTTTTACCTCCTTAGTTAAATATATTCCTAGGTACTTTATTTTCTTTGTTGCTATTTTGAAGGGAATTGAGTCTTTTGTCAATGCAGTCCCTATCAAAATGCCATCATCATTTTTCACAGATATAGAAAAAATAATTTTATGCTTCGTATGGAACAGGAGAAGACCCCATATAGCAAAATCAATCCTAGGCAATAAAAACAAAATAGGAGGTATCAATTTACCAGACTTCAAACTATACTACAAGGCTATAGTAATTAAAACAGCTTTACACTGGCATAAGAACAGGGACACTGACCAGTGGAACAGAACAGAGAACCCAGATATAAAACTATCCTCATATAGCCAACTAATCTTGGACAAAGCAGACAAAAACATACACTAGGGGAAATAATCCTTATTCAATAAATAGTGCTGGGAAAACTAGATAGTCACATGTAGAAGACTGAAACAAAACCCACACCTTTCATCTCTCACAAAAATCAAATCTCGCTGGGTAACAGACGTGAACCTTAAGTGTGAAACTATTAGAATTCTAGAGGAAAATGTTGGAAATACTCTTCTAGACATCGGCCTAGGCAAAGAATTTATGAAGAAGACGCCAAAGGCAATCACAGCAGCAACAAAAATAAATAAATGGGACCTGATCAAATTAAAAAGCCTCTGCACAGCCAAAGAAACTGTCAAGAGAGCAAACAGACACCCCACAGAATAGGAGAAAATTTTCACAAGCTACACATTTGATAAAGGGCTGATAACTAGAATTTATTTAGAACTCAGGAAAATCAGCAAGGAAAAATCAAACAACCCTATCAAAAAATGGGCAAAGGACATGAACAGAAATTTTTTAAATTAAGACAGAATAATGGCCAACAAACATATGAAAAAATGTTCAATGTCTCTAATCATCAGGGAAAGGCAAATCAAAACTGCAGTGAGATATCACTTATCTCCAGTAAGAATGGCCTTTATCAAAAAGTCCCCAAACAATAAATGTTGGCATGGATACAGAGAGATAGGAACACTTCTACATTGTTGGTGGGACTGCAAACTAGTTCAACCTTTGTGGAAAGCAATATGGAGATACCTTAAAGCAATACAAGTAGATCTACATTTGATCCAGCAATTCCATTACTGGGCATCTACCCAAAAGATCACATGACACTCTACAAAAAAGATACCTGTACTCAAATGTTTATAGCAGCACAATCACAATTGCAAAGTTGTGGAAACAACCCAAGTGCCCATCAATACGTGAGTGGATTAATAAAATGTGGTATATAGCTATATATATATATATATATATATATATATATTATATATATCATAGAGTACTATTCAGCTTTAAGAAACAATGGTGATATAGCACCTCTTGTATTATCCTGGATAGAGCCAGAACTCATTCTACTAAGTGAAGTGTCTCAAGAATGGAAAAACAAGCACCACATGTACTCACCAGCAAATTGCTATTAACGGATCAACACCTAAGTGGACATATAGGAATGACATTTATCAGGTGTCGGGCAGGTGGGAGGGGGGAAGAGGGGATGGGTATATACAAACACAATGAGTGAGGTGTGCTATGTTTGGGGGATGGTCATGCTTGAAGTTCTGACTCGAGGGGCAATATATGTAACCTTAACATTTGTACTCCCATAATATGCTGAAATAAAAACAAAATGGTCCAAAGATCTGAACAGGCACTTTACCAAAGAAGATACATAGATGGCAAATAAGCATATGAATGATATATGATGTTGAGCATCATATATCATTAGGGAATTGCAAATTAAGATGAGATACCACTACACGCATGTTAAGAATGGCCCAAAGCCAAAACCCTAACACCACCAAATACTCCAGAGTTTATGGAGCAGTAGGACCTCTCATTCATTGCTAGTGCAAATGCAAATGGCATGGACACTTTGGAGGACAATGGCAGTTTCTTACAAAATGAAACATACTCTTACTGTATGATCCAGCAAGTAAACTTGGTATTTACTCAAATGAGTTGAAAACTTATGTTCACAAAGAAACCCATACACAAATGTTTATAGAAGCTTTGTTCATAATTGTGCAAAGTTGAAGCAGCCAAGTTATCTTCAGTAGATGAATGGGTAAATGAGCTAGTACATCCATACATTGGAATATTATTCAGTGCTTTTAAAAAATAAGTTATATTTTTGAAGATGTGGAGGAAACTTAAATGCATATTATTTCTAAGTGAAAAGAGTCAATTTGAAAAGCCTACCTATTCTATGTTTACAACTATATGGCATTCTGGAAAAGGTAAAAGTATGTCTACATTAAAAAGATAAGTGGTTGTCGTGCTTGAGGGTGGGGAGGCAGGGAGGGATAGGTGAAGCACAGGGGACTTTTAGGGAATGATACAATAAAGATTCTACATGATACAATAATGATGTATATGTCATATATTTTTCAAAACCTATAGAATTTACAACAAAATGAGTGAACCCTAATGTAGACTATGGACTTTAGCTTATAATGTATTAATATTGGTTCTTTAATTCAAATATACCACACTTACACAAGATTTTAATAATAAAGGGAGAACTGTAGGAGTTGGAGAAGGTTGAGGGAGTATATGGGAACTCTTGTTTTTTCCACTCAATTTTTCTGGTAACAGCCCCTGCCCCCAAAAAGTTTACTAATTTAAAAGATCACATGATCATAAAATAAATGACACATTTCTTTGGTGTATGACTCTCACTTTACAGGTTTCTTGAAGAATAGTTATTGGCTTCAAAAAATGGATTCTATGGCTGAAACTTTTGAGGCACCCTAATATCTGTCTTAAAACATCCCAGTGTATCCTTGATATGGTCTCTCATAAGCCCTTATTGTAAATTGTTCTGGAGTTAGCCTACCTTTAGGCCGAAATGGAGAAGTAGGTCTTTGAAAGGGAGCCTGAGAGAAGACTTCTTCACGTATTTTCTATTTAGGGAGTCCAGATGATGGGATGCAATGTGTATATTGCCCTACATTCTAGGACCTAACAGAGCTTAATGAGTTTAGTTTGTAAAAGTTCATATCTATTTATTCCCTATCTGGATCTTTATATTTGGAAGACTTGCTTACCTGTAGTTTAGGCTTATCTTTCTCAAAGTGTTTATGAATTGCCTGTTAAATTATAGATTTGTGGCCCTTTAGCCTAGAGAGTCTGATATAGCAGTTATAAGATGGGGACCAGACATCTACCTTGTAACTAATTCCTTGGGGGATACTTAGAGTTTTGAGGATTATAGTTTTAGGCCTTGGCCAAGATATAAAAAGTAGTCAATGTCCTAAATGAGTGCAAGAGTTTATGTGGCTTTTCACATTTATTCTCATTTGAATTATACTGGTTCAGTTTACCTGCACATGGTAGAAATTGATACTTCCAATGGGGAAGGATGCTTCTAAATAGACCACTTGAGCTTGTAATTCTTTTCTCAAGTATCATTTACTTACATTTTATGAAAGCTGAAATTACTCATAATATGGGAAAAGTTGTATATATGAGATATACCATAAAATTATATAAAAAAACTTTGATACAAAAGTTGTAGATAAATTTAAATATTTAAATTTCAAAGATTAGAATTCTGTATCCTAATTGCCTAATTCAATTGAACATAAAAATAATGTAATGTCAAATCATCTGTTTAAGAAATAAATATTGTTGATGACAGCTGAAGGCCTGAATTTCATCTAATCCGCATTTTTCAGCCTCTCTGGAAAAGATTATGACAGATTATTACTCTCCTTACTTGTTCATTATTCAATGCATTCCTTTATTTAACAATGTCTTTTAAGCAAAATTATTATACCAGCTATGCAAGGTATAGTTTGTTGTTAGTTGTTTTATCTAGATGTGATATTTTATCTCAGCTACTTCACTAAATTTCAAGTTAAGTATTTTATAAAAAATCAAGATTTCCTTCTCTTACTAATTAGTTGGTGAGAGCAATGACAACATTCTGAGTAGCAGTTATAGAAATATTAGATATTTAAGATACTTTGGGATAAAAAATTTTATGTGAATTAAATATATTTCTTTAATTCCAACTTTTCTACCCATTTTTATTCTCACTATTTCTTGGCAAATTTTTGTTTGTTCTAAGATTTTTAACAGTTGAAAAAATTTTTGAAAGTGGTTTCTCATCTTTCCTAGATGTTTCATGGAACAATCACAGAAGAGCTAACCAGTCATGAAGAATGGAGTCACTA